ACCCTTCCTGCTTGCGTGCCGGAGCACTCTTGTCAATCATGGGCTCTTCCACGGATTTTTCTTCTTCCACAGAGAAGGGCCCTTCCACGGCCCTTCTCTACATGATATCGTGGGTATTTCATACTTGAACAGAAGGCCCTACGCTCTTGCCGGGGCCCCATCTGTTGACCTGCTCGGACACACTCAAATATCCGGGGGCCCTCCACAGTTTGTCTTGGGTACTTCCTACCTGAATGGAGGGCCCTACGCATTTGTCGGGAACTCCATCCGGTCGCCGCTTCGGTCACGCTGGATTGTTCGGGGGCTCTGTATATTGGATCTCGGTGTTCGAATTCAGAGCCCAACACTCCTGTCTGGGCCACCTGATAATCTGCTCTTGTATACACCATCCAACGGTGGCCCTCCACACTGGGTTTTTGGGTATACTTATTTGAATGGAGGGCCCTAAACTCTTGTCAGCCGCTTCTAATAAGCTGCTCCGGCACATTCTATCATTCTGGGGCATTCTGGGGCCTTTTGTTGGGAGCCCTATTTTTTAATCTGCTCGAGTATGCATGATCATTCGGGGACCCTCTACATTGGGTCTTTGATGCTTCTTATTTGGAGGGCCCTATGCTCTTGACGGGACTCTATATGCTAACTTGCCCTGAGGCACTGGATAATTCGGGGGTCCTCTGCATTGGGTCTTGAATACTTTATATTTAAATCGAGGGTCCCACGCTCTTTTTGGAAATCTTATCCGTTAACCTATTCGGGCACACTCCATCATTCGGAGCCTTCTACATTACGTCTTGGGCACTTCCTATTTGAATGGAAGGCCCTGAGCTCTTGACGGGGGCCCTTTATGTTAGCCTGCTCGAGCGCACTTGATCGTTCAGAGCCCTGCACATTGCGACGTAAGTATTTGTCGTTTGAACGGATGGACTTATGGCCTTAACGCGCCTCATCTGTTAACACGCGCTCGGATGGAAGGTCAAATTGAACCCCCCCCCCCCCCGTGCCCGAAGGTTTTTCCAGAATGGTTTCCGAACAGCGTGACGTAGCCGCGCCAAACCTTGCATAGCTGTAGACAATTGAATAGCGGTTTGTTTGATTTGAAAAGTTTAGATGTTCCTTGTAAGGTTCCTGACCTATGACAGGTCAAAATCAGGCCATGGTTTCATAGAAGGCAATTTCTAGGGAATCCTTCAATTTAATGCAACAATGGTGTGTTTGACAAAGTCATACATCTCTGAGATGTTTTCTGAGGCAACACAAATATTGAATGAGCAAATGAAGTTGACCCAAGGTCAAGTATACAGGTCAGACCAAGGTCAAAAACCAACCTGTTTTATCACCCTGGGGCTTGCTGTATCGGATAGGTTCTGGTGCTCATTTCGAAGTTATTGACAACAGTAACCGCCTTGTACATCTTCCATTGACGTCTTAGAGGTCAGAAAAGGTAATTGACCTAAGATTACCCAGGTCGCATTTTGTTCTTAGGAACATAATGCTTAGCGTAATCTTTGTCGCTTATTCAAATGCAAAGCTCAGAACAGTCGTGTATGATTTTGACCACCATGGCCCTGAAAAAATCAAACAAGGTCACTTCTCTTCAATGGGATGGTGACCTTTTGCTTAGAAACAGTTATCTAGGTCCTGGGGACACTTTTTCGACAGGCCAACGCACGTACAACACCTGTACTTCATGTACAGGTGAAGGCACCCTGCAAATTTGGTATCTCTAGCTTTCTTATTTCCCAACATCTCAGGGAGCCAAATTGACACCCCCACCCCCACGCGAAGTTCATTCTTCGCTGATTGAAAAAGTGCTGCTGGGGGAAAACTTTGGGGCTCATTCAGCTTTCTAGAGGGATTACCCTGTTGGTTGGCCTGGCCCTAAATGTCCATTTGCCAGGTCAATCTGATCGCTAAGGGGGTTTCCACGTTTCCCTTGATCTCTTTGCATTTTCTTGTAGAGCCCAATGTGCTGTTGGGACGCTCTCTGCCTCCATGCCTGAGCACTGTTGATCAATCAGGTTTTCCTTCTCGGGTTCTTTCCATTCGCCCGAAAGGCTCTGTGCGCTTTTTCCGGTGTCCCATCTGCCAGGGTACGCTCAGTTGTTTAGGGGCTTTTTAGATAAGTGTCGGGTTCTCTCAACTTGCTTGGTGGACCTTGTGCTGTTGCCAGGGCTCTTATAAGGCAAGGCACGGAGACACACGGTGTTCAGGGGCCCTCTCCTTTGATTGAGGGCTCTCTCCCTTTGGTTTCACTCGCGGGGGACTCTTCACTCCTGTGGAGGCTCGTGTTGGTAACCTGCCCGTGCCGGGCAGGTTCCCGGCGTAATTTTACATGACACTGACGTCGTGCATGGCATTTCCATAGGGTATTGAATGTATGACACCCATGATGCCAGGCCATCACGTTCTTAACATATTTTGAATGCTAGGATATGTTGTACTCCTTTATAAAAAATGAAAAATTTTGCATAGTCATCAACCATCAGCTGGTTATATTGCTCCGCCGGCTAGCATTAAAAACATAAGCTAGGAAATCAAGCCTATGCTTGGTTTTGATGGCTTCGATACATTTAGCCTCAAGATCACAGCATTTAACATTATCTGTAGAAAATGAGTAAGTCCCATGCGTATGCGTGTGTAGTACGCCTATCTTTAGAGGGCCGTGCACAGTAAGATGTGTTTCCGCATTTATGAAATAAACGAATAACTAAATAAGTGCATATATATACATATATATATATATATATATATATATATATATATATATATATATATATATATATATATATATATGTGTGTGTGTGTGTGTGTGTGTGTGTGTGTGTGTGTGTGAGTGTGTGTGAGTGTGTGTGTGTGTGTGTGTGTGTGTGTGTGTGCGTGTATGTGTATGTGTGTGAGTGTGAGTGTGTGTGTGTGTGTGTGTGTGTGTGTGTGTGTGTGTGTGTGTGTGTGTGTGTGTGTGTGTGTGTGTGTGTGTGTGTGTGTGTGTGTGTGTGTGTGTGTGTGTGTGTGTGTTACATACGACTTGTCTTAAAATGTAATGACCGGAATGCACGGATTTTTTGGAAGGGCCCCAAATTCCAGGGGCCTCATGATGTTCCGTGGCCCCATCGACGAAATCCTGGATCCGCCACTGCCTGGATCTCTGCATCGCTGCTTGCGGGTACAGCGGTGTGCAGCAAAGTCCAGATGACGCTGAAAAGCTGAGGCCGAGGGGCTGCTGATCCCTTTTCTGATCGACGTCAGCGTCCTTACGTAATGCAACGCTTCGGCTAATGCCTCTCCTTTGGAAAAGGCTCTTTGTTAGCCTCCCTAACGACCCACAGCGTCATTGGAACATCCAATGCCCCACAACGGAATGGTGATTCCTCGATGGGGGAGGGCGAAGTATAAGTGGAAGTCACATTGGACTGATGCTCAAGCTTGGCTTACCGCTGGATTTGTTCGCCAATGCCTTGTGTGTTGCCTCCCTGACCACTCGAACTTCCCCGAGTTTCGCTGTGCCGCTGATGGTTATCTCATACTGGTCGGTGACCACCGCTCGGCCATGCATGCTCTGTCACACCAGACTTTAAAATATCGCACCGGCAGGCTGCCTTTCTGTGACCTTCAGGTCTGACAGACAGAGGTCGACATGTCTCGCCTTTGGCTGACCTGCCACAGCTGCATGGTATGTCGTATGTGCAACGCTTGGCGTGTTCCATCTGAGTCGGTGGTGTGACTTTGATTAAGTGGTCTTTGGGATGTTGAGTTGCTTGTCCGGACGTTGCTTCGTGTGTTTCATAAGTTGTGCTCTAGTTGATAACATCTGTGGTGAATTTCTTCCGTGACCTTCGCTGAAAATTGCATCTTATATTCGTGGGCCAAGTGTTGAACGTTTGCCCCTGTCATGTTTTGTGCTTCTAAAACATGCAAGAATTACAGAACGGCTTTACCCGCTTTACATTATTTGAGTGGTCTTCCACAAATTCAAGGTAATAGTAACGCTAGGTAAAGTTGACCTTAGGCCATAACACAGACGTTATGGGATGATATCGGGCGGCTGTTACTTTCCAGACTGTCATACTCAGAATATGTGTATTCTTATCAGGCCGATCCTAGCCTACAGATAATTAAATAAGTTCGAGAACTGTTAAATGCAATAATTTGCTGATATGGAAAGAGTACAATCATTTATGACGCGAAACGTTTTGGAAGATGTGGCACCTACGTCACTCGACGTTGAGAACTGATTTTCTTATTCATATTTTATCGGATAAAAGTTTGAGCACAAAAATGCATAGATACATACAGACGCTTTGACTTAAACGAAATGGCAGAATAGCAACGTGCCTCTTACTGTGTCTTCCGGCATAAAAAAAACCGAAAACGAACACAAATTTGATTAATAAAAGTGTTTACCTGACTTTAACTTTCACTACGTCGAGCCACTCATGACATGTCACGTGACAGGTCTGAAATCGCGGCTGGCTGTGTTACAGCGAGATGGTTTTGAGTAGCTGTGAATGAACCCTTTTCTCTAACCTGCGGAAGAAACGGCTTTGATTAATCTGAGATTATTATATAAGTATTGGTGAAACATCTGTATCATTATGGCAGATATGACTTTGAGATCGTCATTTCCACACTGTAACATTTTTGGTTCTGGGGTACATATTTATCCACCATTGGAATACTCCATATTGACACCTAAGCAAAGCGCAGTACACAAGTCGGCGATTTTCGATACTTGCGCATCTTGACAATGATGCATTCCATGAACGCCAAGAATGCCGATTGTTATGTTTGCGGTATGTTTTGGGATATAAGACTAGTAAGTCTGTCATCACTATTGTCTACGCTATAATTCCCATGCATTCACATCAAGCATTCTTTTCTTTTGAGCGCACTTGCATTTTTCCAAAGGCTTGGAAAAATGCTAGGTGGATGACCACACTTAAACGCGCTGTGTAATGCTGTGAAATGCACATGTTAGGTAAAATGTTTGATAAAGCCAGCGATGCAAAGAGCCAAATGTATTTCTTCACATTTCTAAAATTGCGGTGCCTGCACAAACGCCCTTACGCGATTGCAAGTAGGAATCAAAAGTCACACAGTGCCGAGAGCACCACTCATACAGAATAAAACGGTAAGGCGATGTATAAATTCATCTCAGCGGTTTGCATTAACAACCACAAACAAGTACTTCATAAAGCGCGCAAAAGCGTTAATGTTTTTCAAGGCATATTTCTACAGAGTATTTGCTTTTAGTAGTTAGTATGATAGTTTTATAGTTTAGTGGTTAGTATTTGCGAGTCGCGCCCCATGCATGAAAGCGTCGACCACTTTGTTTCAGCTGTCCGTGTCCCGCACTCTCAACGTTAGTAGCATAAATGCTGTTTTCACACGCACAATTTGTCTACCGGGGCCGTTTTGAAAATTTCGTAGCATATGCGCCCTGCAGTCCTTGGTTGAAAGCCATTCGACACATGCCCATCAATATTTGTGAACTTGGATGTTTGCTGAAGACTTCTGGCTAAGCCTGAGCGACACGTTTCCGTCTCTTCGATAATCGGTAAGAGGCACGACAGGTCTTTATCAGAAGCCTCAAGCGGCGGGAGCAAACGCAGACGAGAGCTCGTACTCCTGAAACAGAGGTGTGATGTCAGAACTCTATGATGACGTCACATAGTTGTGAACGCGTCAGCTGTTTACACACTTACACACTCATGCACAGACTGCAGCTGTAAGCATAGGTGCCTGAGGACTGACTTTCACAGACACCGAGTGGTACAATCTCCCACCGGCTGCCGGTATCTGCTGTAACCGTCATGGCGCGTTCCTCCGGTCTGGACATGTGACACACGTGGGCCCCACACACAGTACCAGCTATAGCACTACTGCTTCTGTAATTCAGTACAATTAATTCAGGACAATCTCATGTCGTGTTTTACAATGCATTGTACAGCAAGCTCTGTAGCTTCGCCTCTCCAGACAAAAAGGAACCCTGGAAAGCTTCCAGTGGCTGGGATTGAACTGAAAGCACTCTGTTCACGGCTCAGTGGGCACGCGGGCAGTGGTCGGTCCCGCTCCTCACCAGAATATTGCGGTCCTCAGGCCTGAAGAGGTCGTAGACCCGCACCACCGACGGCTTCAGGCCATCCACCTCGTTCTCTCGGATGATACGGAACTTGAGGCACACCTTCTCCTCGGTGACCTTAGACAGCGTGAAGGTCACCTTACCATTCCTGAAGTCATACTTCCGCACCACTGTGGGTGGACAGAGTGGGCAGGAATAAATATAGGGGCATCAAACGTGCGTGCAAGGCATTGGGACCAACAACAAAATATGATACTTCAAAGAGCTGAAAAGTTTCACTTTTTACCATGACGCATATGTGCTCTCCAGGCGTTCGGCTTTTAAGCCGAAAGATGTTTGCAACGTTTGCTTGCATTTTCAGTGTTATCGCAGATGAAAACATCACAGATGCCATAACAAATTCGATGGGAGGATGCACTGTAGCGTCCCGGTGAGAGCGGTCGACCAAAAACGTTTAAAGGCGGCAATGCTCATGTTTCTGAGCATGTTCAAGCACACATGATAGCATCTAAACACAATTTTAGCTTCATTCTGGGACCACAAAATGTATGCGTGCATCCACATGAGTATTGCAGGTGATGCTTGAAAACCGGAGCTTATCAGATGCGCCATCATTTTGTGATTGTCCTCCCTTTCGCGAGCTACAGTGGTAGTGATACAGCTGGGGTCGCACGGATATCTAATTCTGAACTATTGACGCATTTAGTTGTAGCCAGGATTGTTAAGCTTCAGTTGGAGACATTCGCCAGTTCAGCAGTTCTTAAAAGTGCCATCGAAGACTATAGAAATACACATTCATGTATTTATGTGTATGTCACATGGACAACGCGTTTAAAACACTGAAAAACATGCACCCTGATTTATCTCTTCAACGGTGCTAAACAAAACAAAAACTCAGAGAGCAATAGAACACCGACCTGCCTCGAACTGGGGCAATGAAAAGGAGATGACCTAGATTTCCAATATATTGCGACCTTCCTTACCGTTTGTTTTTGGTCAAGATGTGGTCTGTGGCAGCCACGCACCAAATTCGACAGACGGGTGAACTGTACCCCTTATGTCACAGAAACACCGTTACGTTACCTCTTCCCGCTCACTAATACGCCATCTCACCCCCTCCCCCCCCCCCCCAAGCTATCTCGGAGACTACGACCTGCTCACCCGCTGCAGTGTCGGAGGCATCTTACATCCTACTTACATCCTATCTAACACCCGCTACTTTCCCGCTGTCCCGGAAGCTGCTCCCTCAGATAGAGGCAGTATCTCAGATTTTGAGTCAGGGTGGGGGACGGCTTTGCCACGGGGCCTCCTCACAGGGAGGCCTTCTGGGAAGCGCTGTACTGAATTGGGAGGGCACCGAGGTCATGTGCCCCCCTTTCGGATTGTTACGTGCATCGCCTTCAAATAACCTCCATATTGAGGCCTTCTGATTATCTAGTAGAGGGCCTCGCTATCTTAAAACAGGGCCTCTCATTCCAGAAAGGGTCTCTTGACGCATAGAGGGCATTTTATCTAATATAATCGGCGTGCTTCCGATTCATGAGGGAGGACCCAGTCTAGTCAAAGGGTCGCGTTATCCCAACGCAGGGCATTCTGATCCAGAACTGCGGCCATCTGATACATGAAAGGGGCCTCGTTATCCAGAAATAGGGCCTCCTAAACATAGAAGATGTCTCTAACCCAGAACAGGGGCCTCTAGCCCATAACGCCAGCCTCACGAGCCCGGATAGGAATTTTTAACATTATATTGAACCTACTAATCTGAAGCACGGGTTTCCTTATTAACAATGCTTCATTGCTCAGAAAACGGGCATTTTGATGTAGGAAACGGTCTTCCCAGCTGGAGTTAATGCTCTCGACGTCAGACATGGGGGCATACTTGATCTAAATTTTGGTAATCTACGGGTTACCATTTTTCATACCTTTGGTTCGAAAAAGTGTTTCCACGAAATTGATTGGAGGGACACAACACACTGTTGCCCGCCCCCCCCCCCCCCCCCGTCCCCTGCTGACAAAGGAAGGACAACTGCTCCCTTTGCCCCGCCTTCCCCCTCCCCTTCCTCTTGCGCCAATCTTGCCCCCAGCCACTCCACTGTTTCGTATACTACGCCATCGTTTTAACTCGCTATACGGAGACTGTCCCCTGCTTACTGTCGACTTATCCAGAGCAATTCTGACGAAACAGGACTGCGGTCTCAGAGCCCGCACGCCCACGTACCCCTCACTGCATTGATAAATACTCCTTGTTTACCGTTCTGTTTCGGAGGCAGCCCCTCACTTTCTGCCGCTGTTTCGCAAACTGCTCACCACTTACCGCCGCTGTTTCGCAGACTGCTCAGCACTGCTCGCCGCTGTTTCGCAGACTGCTCGCCACTTACCGCCGCTGATTCGCAGACTGCTCAGCACTTACCGCCGCTGATTCGCAGACTGCTCAGCACTTACCGCCGCTGTTTCGCAGACTGCTCGCCACTTACCGCCGCTGATTCGCAGACTGCTCAGCACTTACCGCCGATGCGTCGGAGACTTCTCAGTGTGCTGCTGACGGCAATATAGCCCGAGGGCATCTCCACCTCCAGCACGACGCGCTCCGATTCGCCAGAGTCCCCGATGTAGGCGGAGCACACCTCCAGCTCATACGAACTACCTGGAGAGCGGCTGGGGCGAGCCTCCGAGGTCATCGCCAGCGAGAAGGCTGGCTTTGGCACCTGGGCATGACGACTTCTGCGTTAGTGTCGTCTTACCGGATCCAGGTGAGGCGACCCAGGTCATCTGTTCATGAATGAAGACTTGTTTCATTGTATGGGCGCGCTACCGCACGCTTTCCAACGTCAGTATCAGTCAGTATCAGTATCAACTTGACGACGATGTCAGTATCAGTCAGTACGTCAGTATCAGTAGCAACTGTGGAAGTAGTCAGGCACCTAGGCACAGTCGCAAGATGGTTCCATTTCGGATGAGCGTCACTAACCGTGCATCAGTAGCGCGAGAAATAACTCTCAACAAATACGAAGTAGCAATGTCTGGGGTTAAAGTAATGGAAAACTATATGATTCCGGGAGGATATCTTACAAACAAGCGTACTCGTAAGCCAAGGAACTGCGCAGACGCCATTCAGAGCGGACAGCAAACAACATTTATTGGCACGCGCTTGGGTTGGAGGCGATCCATTTGCTCCCTTCCCCCTGAAGGTTTCCCAAAATAATTTCCGAACCAAGCGGTGTAGCCACGCCAAATTTTGCTTACCTGTGGGCAATTGAAAAGCAGATATTTTGTATACAAAAGATGCACCTAGTAAGGTCACTGATGTTTGACAGTTCGCAGTCGGGTTGTGACTGTAAACGAAAGCAATTCCTACGGATTGGTTTAATCTGATGCGACAACGGAGTGCTAGACGAAACGGGAAATCTTAAACTTTGCCCCAAAGACAATGAGTCAGTTGACTTAAGGACTATGACAAATTCAATTGACCTTGGGTGAGGCATGCAGGTCAGATCAATGTCAAAACCGATCTGCCTTTTTCTGAACATGTTTCTTTATGAGGTAGTTTCCGATGTTCATTTGGAATTCATTGATAACAGGGACGGCAGCAGACATTTTTTCTCGAACTTATCAAAAGTCATATGAATTCACTCATCTAAAATGAATCATATCGACCTACGATTTTTAGGCACATACCGCCAAGCGTAGTCCTACACATTTGTTTAATTCAAAAATGCATAAAATAATCACGTAGATTTCCGGACACTATGACCTTCTTCAGGTCAAACAACGTCACTAGCCTGAGATGAGCAACAGTGGCCTTTTGTTTAGAGCGGGTATTTAGGTTCAAAGCGGTCGCATGAGCAGGTCTGGGGGTACTTTGGACACCACTGTTGAGCTTGTCCCTGTTTGACCCTTTGGCCTGTTTGACTCGAAGCTTATGACCTCGGGACGTCAAATTTAAAAAGGCGAGGTTGCATATAGGCCTACCTGTCCTGTGAATTGCATGTCTATCTCTGTTATCATTTTAGATGTTTGGGGATCAACTTGACCCCTTCCCCTACTCAAGTGCGCCGTATTCAAGCGGGCGCCCGGGCGTGTGTTAAATTTGGCGCTAGGGCAAACCCCCATTTGCTGCTTAGCAAACGTGAGAAAAGTAACGCCTCATCGCTCATGCCTCGCCCAGAACAAGTGTGAGTCCACGTTGCGTGGCATGCTACATACTCGAGCGCGGCTGGAGTAGCGGAGGCTGGTGCGGTAGGTGACGCAGCCGGCCGGGGTGACGGTGAAGGTGACCTCAGCTGGCAGCTGCGGACACGATGGCGGCGTCAAACGGAGGTGAGGTGTGCGGCGTGGGCGTAGTCACATGAGAAGAAAAGACTTCTGCAGAGGCGCGCTCCCGCATACACGACACAGTTTCAGTTCTGATATACTCATCTGCGAAGTCACACTGTTGACATAAGCATGGGGGGAATAAGCATGGGGGAATAAATAAGTAGGGGAAATACTGGTCGTGCGATGGCATGAGCCATGCAAGCTGACGAGGCATGCGGTGGCATGAGTCATTATGAGTCATGCAGTGAGGTCAAGCGATGGTTTGAGTGGACTAAAAAATCAAGCTTATCAGTCGGCTCATGACACATCATCAGCATGAGCCAAACTTTCGTCTTATGCACCGGCCTGGATTTAACTTGAAAACCCGCACTCAGTGCAGGCAGTGTTGAATGACTTGGGATTACTTTTCATGCACAACGCAAATGGCTCGATATGAAGTTGTACCAGAAAACTTTGGCCCAAAACCAAGCAGAAATCAGCGTGTACCACACGCTTACTGTAGTCAGGCAGCGTACCTCAAAGTCCGCCACCTTTTCTTGCTGCAGCTGCAGGCGGTTGGACGAGTCCACCACCAATGTGGAGGGGGGTCCGCCAGCGCTAACCGTCACACGAGTGGATAACTCGGAGGAGAAAGTG